GCTGAGGGAGAAATCAAAGTGCACTTTTCCTGTTGTGTGATGTCATTAGCAGTAGGGGGGAAAGGGCTGGCCCTGAATGCTCCAGCCTTGTGGGCTCAGCCTGGAAGGCAGGTGGGTGGGAAGCGGGGCTCCCAGGGCTTGAGCCATCTCCTAGGCTTTTACAATAAAGTTAGAGTTGACACTGGCTACTCCAAAACTGATACCCACAGCAGATTCCTGGCCCATGGCAAGTGTTCATAAGTACTGAGTCCATGGATGGATGAAATAGACATCCGTGAGAATACTGTGGAGAATGGTGTTGAAAACAGTGCTGAAGCAGCCTTGGAGCTCAGTGGGAACCAAGGATGCTGCTCAGCAGTGACATCTGGATTAGGAGGCAGTAGCCAAGACTACATCTGCACTACCCCAGAGTCCCTTCTGGTGCACCAGAGGAAATATTCCTATAATACCAGTCTCACTCCTTCCAAATCTAAATCTGCACAGAGGAAAAAGAACAGAGAGGGAATAGCTGATAAGGATAACAAAGGTGGGGGAGGTTGGAGCAAGAAAGAGAGGGAAAGACTAATGAAGCACAGGAATAAAATAACTTGGACTGCCTGCTTTTTCATTGGGCCTCTGTATCATCTGGATTACAAGAAACCATGAAACTATTGTGTTCTTATTTTCATGGTCAGCAGACTAAGAATTGTGGTGGGCAGGATGAAGTGGACCAATCTGGCACGACAGCTCTCAGAGCACCGGGTTAGGAAGCAATGGTTCCAAAAAGAAAGCACAAGCACTACCCCTTTGCTCTCTGCTACCTCCATCACTCCCAGAACGAGTTTGTTGCTTCCAGGTCTTTGAAAGGCATGGTGCTCAGATCCATTCAGGTTCTAGACACCCCGCTAGATTCCTGCTAAAAATGACAAGGGAACCGTCTTGGCAAATGTGACCATTTTAGACCACAATGCAATGCAGAAGGAGGAAGCACCTGAACCCATTTCCAGCCCACAAAATATCAAGCCTTAGTCACGAGTCCAGATTGAGCTCTTCGTGAGAAGTGGTACACGTTCAGACTGAGACAGAAAGCAGACCTGGGACTTCCCTCTTGCTTATGCTCAGAGGGGAAGTGAAACTGCTTTTCAGCACCGCAGGTGCTCACCTCCAGGAAGAGAACGGCCTGCTTCACTTAAGGGGACAAAGTTCTGAGCGGAGCCCCATCTTACTTTTCCTGAGCGGCCCTCTGGGCAGCTTATGTGATCATACACCCATTTCAGTACAAGAGAAAGCAGAGGAAACAGCTGGGAAGGAGCAGCACCTGAGAGATTCAGGTGAACCTGCAGGTCCAGCTCCGGGCCACTTCCTCACACCTGAGTATTCCCAGGTCGCTTTTTCTGCCCTCAGCACACAAATGTTAGCAGAGGACAAATTCCCACCCTTTGCAGTTCCCCTTTTATTGTTTGCCTTCATTGAAAAGAGAACTTCCTTGACTACAGGAAATTCAGATTTGTACCATTCAAGATCTGCACCATTTCGGACCCATGAAAATGCCAGAAATCATTCGCTTCCTTTTCAAAAATGTGTATTTGTTGGTTATTTTCCTGAGTACAAACAGGGTACCTATTATTATTCAGTACTTACTAGGTTCTCAGTAAATTATTTGTTCAGTGGGTAAGACATGCTCACTTTTGAAAACTGAAAAACTTCAGAAAGCAAAACGGAAAAAAAAATCAAAAGTCATTTGTAAAACCTACCAACCAAATATAGTTACTGTCGAGGGGTTGGAGTAGATCCTGGTTGCATGTATGACAGGCTCATACTGGATGTATTGACCTGTATTCCACATTATAGCATAACAATTGCTCATGTTACTAAATTGGAGTAACTGTTTGGACTATAAAATAGTCACTCGCTCTTTTGGATCTTTTAGTTATTTTCAATTTTTTTCCTATTGTGAAAATGAAGAGGCAGGTTGTAGCCAAAAAGAGGTGGTAGGTGGGTGTTTAGAGTTGCAGGAGATCTTGAACATAGAATCATCTACATTCACCTCACCTGTGTTTTCATTTCAGGAGAGCAAGGAGCTTACAGCAGCCAGGAGAGTGAGAGGAAGAAGAAACTGTCAGCGTGTCTCCGGGACAGTGTAAGTGAGAAGGTTCTCTCTCTCCATGAGCCTGCGGGATAATCCGGAGAGAAGTGTGTGGACAGCCAGTTATTAGAAGCAGTCAAGGGTATTCCACCCTCATTTTCCAACTCTAGGATCCCTCTGCTGATATACACTTGTAGAACCACCTGATTATAAATGAACCAGCATCCTCTGCCCCGGTTTCATTCTTAAGCCAAAAATAGAAAGGAAGCTTGTTCATGAACTGATCCCTTGTGGGAGGTGGGGGTAAGTGCCTTAAAGTGTGACACTGGTGGCCTGAGAGGAGCCAGGGTGTGGCACTGCTGGGTTTACAGGAAGCCACCAGAATCCAGCAGGACTATGAAACAGTCCACGGAGCTGCACCTCTGGCCTTTCTCTCTCTTCTCTCGCTCTCATTAGAATGTTTGCAATACACAACAAATACATTCATAGTGAGAGATCTGCACATAAAATATTGTATCTCAATCATTTTTACTTCCTTCTCTGCCCCATCTCTTCCCACCCACATATTACCTTCCCATCTCTACAAAGTCCACTCCCCTGTTTGCTATCATCTTTTATTTTGCTCTTTAAGCTATTTCAATTTTGGGTTTCTCACATAAAGGAAGCCATGAAATATTTAACTTTTTATGTCTGATTTATTTCACTTAGCATTATGGTTTCAAGCTGCATTGAGTTTCTTATAAATGACTCAAATTTATCTTTATGGCAGAGTAGAACTCCTCGGAGTATATATACCACACTTTCTTTATTCATTTATCTGTTTATGGGCCTATGTGCTGCTTGCAAGATTAAAATATTATGAGCTGTGATACATGAGAGTGCATAAATCACTTTACCTAGTTTCAGTTTTATGAGGAATCTCCATCCTGATTTCCACAGTGGCTGTACTAGTTTGAGTTCCCACCCACAAAGTAGAAGGGTTCCTTTTACCCACAGTCTTGCTGGCAGCCAGCATGTGTTGTTTTGAGTTTTTGATGATAGATAATATTCTTTCTGGACTATTCTTTTGATTTGCATTTCTCTAGTGGGCCATGATACTGAACATTTTTTATGTACCTATCAGCCATCTGTACTTTTACTTCTGACAAGTGTCTATTCATTTCCATAGCCTGTTTTTCTGTTTAAAAATATTTTTTGTATTTGTGCGGAGTACACAACATTTGCATTCCATGTGTGGAGTTGGTACATGTACTTAACTCATCCCAATTCCTTTCTCTCATCTCTTATCCCTTCCCTACTCCACCTCCATTTCTTGATCAAGAAATCAAATTATAGCATATGTTGGAGAGGCTGTGAGGAAAATGGAATCCCTCTACACTGTTGGCATGATTGTAAACTAGTACCATCACTATGGAAACCAGTATGCAGATTCCTCAAAACATTAAAACTAAAAATTCTGTTTGATTAACCAATTCCCTTTCTAGGTATCCTGAAAGAGTTAAAGATATCATAGTACAGTGGTACATGCCTTTTATATAGATAACAGTACAATTTGTAGCAAGTAAATTTTGCTCATGGCCCATAAGTCCATTGCTAGATGAATAGATAAAGAAAATGTGATATCTACACAAAGTGCAGTATTACTGTGCTATAAAAAAGTACAGAGGAGTCATTTGTAGGGAAATGGATGAAGCTTGAGACCATGAGTTTAATCACATACATGAGCTTAAATATTAGGTGGATTCTCTTATACAAATAAAGAGCAAGATAAAAGGTAGATAACAGGAAGTAGAGAGACACATCATTCTTAGCAGGGAAAGCGATCAGTTGCCCATTGTTGAGTTAGTTCTTATTTGGTCTTGTTATTTCTTGAAACACTTCTCACTTGCATAAATGACCATCTGAGGTAACTCAGTTCCTTGGAATGGCCTTTCTGGGATGTACAAGTGATGGTGTAATGAAACCTGTGGATTGAAATATGAATTTCCTCAGCCTCCGCATTGTATCTGCTTCATGGTGTGATCTGTGGGTTGTGAACCATTGCTTTAAAAACTAAACTGGGTGGTGATGAGTCATGTTCCTTTTTACCCACTGTGCTGATTACATGCATGTAACAATTCAGTGACAAAAGTAAAACCACAGGCACTGCTCCTGGTAAACTGCATACATGGAGGAGCTATGTAAATGTGTGTGTATATACACAAGCACCCTTCCAGCAATTTGCATTTTCGAGAAATCAAAATGAAGATTATAGTGAGGCTTTTGTCTTTGCCCAGACATCTGTGTCTGAAAGGAAATAACAGCAGAATATGGGGACGCTCACCTTCACTTGAGAGCATAGGACAGGATAGACTGGGGGTTCCCAGAACACTGCTCAAAGAACTCTTCTCAGTGCCTTTCACCTCCATTCCAGAGAATGCCAGCTCCAAAGCCAGGACCCATCAAGTGTGTAACAGTGAGACCTCCCCATGTGGGTGTCCAAGCTTTTTATCCATGTCTTCTGGAACAGCCTCTGCCCTCAGGCAAATGGGAAGCCCAGGGCTTGGCCTTGACTTCTAGTCAGCCTGGCCACGGTGGAGGCTGGGAATCTCAGGAAAGGCGATGTTGCCATGAACCTCTGCATCTCTAGTGAAAAGGAAATTGTTATCAGAGTTGCAGAAGGGATTGGCCAGGCAAAATTTTAAGACATCAAATCCAAGAAAGCAAATAAACCCAAAGCAATCTGGTGGAGGAAGTGGTCAGGGGCAGGGTCACACTTTCTAGGTGTCACTATTGCTGCTAAGTAACCAGCTGATCATGGGGATGCAGGGTAGACATGTGTTGAGAATGTGAGCCTGGCTTTGCATAGCCACATACCATGACGTTTTCAAGGTTCTAATGCACTTTCATGTTCCAACCAAATCTTATTTCCCCAGTTTGCAATGCGAGCCCCCTAAAGAGGAACTGGTGGTTTTAGGAGAACTGTTGAAATTACTGTTTCTACAACTGCTTTCTTTCCCATCTTTCAGTTTGCACCGAGTGCACCGGCAGCTGTCGAGGCTGGTCTAGAGCTGGGGCTTGCTCTCTGAGCCATGAACACCTTCAGGGTCGCCCTGTTGCTCTGGACTGTGGCAACGTGTGCTGGAGAGGACGATCTTTTGCTGGAGCCGCCAAATGAAACTGGATTTCAAAAATGCAGGGATGCTTTGAAACTCCCCGTCCTGGAAGTCTTACCTGGAGGGGGCTGGGACAATCTGCGGAACATAGACATGGGCCGCGTGATGGAGCTGACATACACTCACTGCAGGACCACTGAGGACGGGCAATACATCATCCCCAATGAAGTGTTCACCATTCCTCAGAAGCAGAGCAACCTGGAGATGAACTCAGAAATCCTGGACTCCTGGATGGATTACAAGAGCAGTACCTCCTCCTCTATTAACTTGGATATCTCCGTGCATTCTATAGTCAATGGTAAATTTTCTGCCGAGTTCCAGAGGATGAAGACCCTTCAGGTAAAGGACCAATCTGTGACAACCCGAGTTCAAGTCAGAAATGTAATCTATACCGTCAAGATCAACCCAGCCTCAGAGCTCAGCTGGGAGTTTAGGAAGGAGCTCATGGACATTTCCGACCGTCTGGAGAACAATCAGACGAGGATGGCCACCTACCTAGCAGAGCTCCTTGTCCTCAACTACGGCACCCACATCATCACCAGTGTGGATGCTGGGGCCGCACTCATCCAGGAGGACCATATCAAGTCCTCCGCTCTCCAGGACAGCCAGAGAAATGCAAAGAGTGTGACTGCATCTGCTGGAGCTGTCTTCTCAAAAATCGTGAATGCCAAGGTGGACATTGGATACTCCACCGAGGACAGCTTGATCAAGGGTTACCTCTCCAATCGGACCAACTCCAGGGTGCTGAGTCTCGGAGGCATTCCATTCCACCCAGGTATCACTCTTGAAGTCTGGCAGCAAGGTATCAACAACCATCTAGTGGCAATGGACCGGACCGGCCTGCCCCTGCACTTCTTCATCAAGCCAAACCTGCTGCCTGAGCTGCCCAGGCCGCTGGTGAAGCAGGTATCTCAGACGGTGGAAGATGCAGTGCGTCGCTATTATGACTTCAATACCTACCCTGGGTGCACAGATGCCAGCTCTCCAAACTTCAATTTTCAGGCCAATATGGATGATGGCTCCTGCAATGGGAAGACACACAACATCTCCTTTGGTGGAATTTATCAGGAATGCACCCAAAACACAGGCAAGGACCTTGCCCTCTGCCCAAAACTGCAGCAGAAGAATCCACTCACAGGTACATTCTCCTGCCCCTCTGGCTACACCCCCATCCGTCTGCTGTCTCAGACCCACGAGGAGGGTTACAACCACCTGGAGTGTAAAAAGAAGTGCACCCTCCACATCTTCTGCAAGACAGTGTGTGAGGATGTTTTCCAGGTGGCAAGGGCTGAATTCAGGGCATTTTGGTGTGCCGCCAAAGGCCAAGCCCCTGGACACTCGGGACTTCTCTTTGGAGGGCTCTACAGCAGTCGGAGTATAAACCCTGTGACAAATCAGCAGTCATGCCCAGCTAGCTACACCACACTGAACCTCTTTGAGAACCTTAAGGTTTGTGTTACTCAAGACTATGAGTTGGGGTACAAGTTTTCCGTCCCCTTTGGTGGGTTCTTCAGCTGTACAGCTGGGAACCCCTTGGTAAATGCTGCCTTATCTGGAGACCATCAGAAAAAGTGTCCTGGGGGCTTCAGCCAGCACTTGGCACTCATCACTGATGGATGCCAAGTGTCCTACTGTGTCAAGGCTGGGGCATTTACAGGGTGGTCCCTGCCCTCAGCCAGGCTCCCACCTTTCACCAGGCCCCCCATCATGAGCCAGGCTGCCACCAACACTGTCATCGTGACCAACAGTGAGGGTTCTAGCTCTTGGATTAGAGATTCCCGAACTCACCGCTGGAGGCTAGGAGAGCCCCAGGAGCTGCGCAGAACCATGAGAATCATGAACGGAGAAAATGGTGGCCTGTCTGGAGGGGCAGCAGTTGGGGTCTCAGTGGCCGTCACCAGCCTCTTGGCAGGGCTTGTCCTTTTGGCTTTCTATGGCATTCGGAAGTACAAGAGTAAAGGATACCAGCCAATAGATGGAGAGCAGAAGAATGTGTTTGTAGAGACCGGAACTGGAAACATCCCTGAGCTACAGCCCCAGAGATTCCCAGCTTAAATCTCTCCTGGATGCCCAGGTTCTGTCATCTCTGACCATAGCTTCAAACACCTCTTTCTTCCCTCCCCTCTCCACTTCTGCCTTCCCAAATGCAAGGAAGTATCTCATCTGACAAAGTCAGGTATAACTTTGAGACTTCTTGTTTAGATCCCGGAGCCAAGAAATTACAGGAGTACCATGGAGTACAAGGTAGGCAGTCAGGAGACTGAGCAACTGTGACTCGTGGTGCACTAAGGCTGAAAGGGTTGTCTTTTCTCACTATGTGCCGTTGTCCTCACTTGGGGCATGTGTGTGGAAAGGAGGCAGGGTGCAGACAGCTGAATCTGGAAATCGTGCCTTTGGTCTGAAGTGCACAGTAGTTTCTCACTTGTCAGCTGTCAGAATTTCTGCCTTTAGGCACCACGTGTCTTGTATTATGCTTTAAAAGCTGTTTGTACTTTATGCTCCTAAACTGGTATAAAGATACAGGAAGTCCCGTGTGGTTGCTGCCTTTTGGTCTTGAAGGTCCATGCTGATCGCCTGGGTTGGGCCTCAGCTTTGGGGAAGATGTTCGTTATCAATTCCATTCTATCCCTTTACCCCACAGTTAGGACTTACTGCAACCAGGCAAATCTGGGACTTCTGATGAGTGTCAACAAGCCCTCAGGAAATATCTTAACTTCTAAGCTTCTATTAGGAGGTCAAGAGCAAAGGGAGAAGTGGAGTAAATGTAAAATTTGGAAGATTGAGGTGCTAACTCCTTTTACCTTACCTCAGCACAAAGCAGGCACCGACAGGATAGGCCAGCCATTCTGGTTCTGTGTTCTGTGTTACCACAGAGAAGCCCTTCTACCTGCAGGCACAGCCCTCACCTCTTCTGCTTTTCATTGCTCATGGGGGTGTCTGAGAAGCTCACATGTGCATACACCTGGATGCCAGCCACAAACTTAGATTTTCCCAGGGGCAAAAAAAGTGAGAAGTCCAAAAAGTCTAGTCCTCAGACAAGCCCATATTTAAGTATTACTTCCTCCCTAAAACCAAAACTGTGCCAAAAGCACCAACAGCACTCCCTCCCCCTACTGCCCCTTACCGCACCTCTCACAGAAAAATCCAGGTCTCTGAATGGAAGGAGGCATCCGGAACAGCTGCAGATATCTGCGTCCCAGGTCAGTTGGGGCATCTGGCAGGATGCTTGGCGGTCAGCACTTGGGCTCTGCTCCATTTTATTACCAGTCACATCTCACTGGAATCTCCTCCGCCACATTTTTAAAAAGTAGCATTTATTTATCCAATCAAACGTCACTAGTGAGCTGGAAGAGTAGTCTGTCTCCTTCATTCATATGCACACTCAAGATCATGGCTCACTGGGAGCAGCTCTTCTGGAGGGGCTAAAGCTGCCCAGTTTGTGGGGAGATGGGACGGGGGAGAGGGGTAACAGCCCACATTCATTTCAGCAGAGACACGAGACAGAGGCCTCTCTCAAGTGTCCAGCCAAGGATACTGATTTCTTCTGTATTTCACCCTCCCCCTATGTATTAACTCTTCTAAAGGTCTGTGTATTTTGTGGCTTCTGGGTGTTCCGTAGGTCTCAGCAAATCTAACCACATTTCTACCAAAGACTGATTCAATTCTTGAATAGGACTATGGAATCAAACAGGCAAAGTAAAGCCAAAGGTTCCCAGACTTTTAATGCATTCACTCACTGCCCAAGGAAATGAAGTTTTTCACTGGTTTCTATTTGTAATAATAAAACTGCACATAAATATGCATTAAAATATGCACCAAGGAACGCTTTGTCTTGCCGTTTATTCATATGACAGAATGTGGATGTCTGCAGCTCACATTCACTGAGTGACTTTACAAGGTCGGGTCCTGGGTGTGGGGCTCACAGGGTCTATTGACCTTTTCCTAACTGAAACCCCAGGCTGGGGTTTGTGGAAAGACCCGTCCTGGCTCCCAAGAAACCACACTCAGAGATGGAGCTATTTTGGGTGACAAAGCCAGCTCGGCATTTGCATTTTATTCTGTGTTCTCATCAATATTGATGATGCATGTAAACATTTATTTGCAAGACAACACCCTACACCTTTTTTTTAAAAGCCTGGATTGTAGATTGGGCGGAGGAACCTTTAAGAGTCAGCGTCTGTGATCTGAGATGATCTCTAGCCCATGAGTTCACTCACGTATTCTCAGGCCTTGTGGTCTCCCCAAGGCCCTCACCAGCTTAGATGTGTAACACAATTACAGACATGCGGTTTCCCCTGTATGTGGTGGTTGGGCCTGTGGCTGGCGGACTCTTGGAAGTAACCCAAATGCCCCTCTCGGGTGGGGCGGCAGCCAAAAACAGAAGGTCACTTGGAAGCCCTGTGGTTGTCAAGTTGCCATTTATTGTTCTGCACGGACACCCCATGAGCACCAGGGGGCGAGGTACCTGACACAGCAACATCAAGGATCCCGGATCACAGCGATTACAAACAGCACAGAGCACGTGGACGCTTGCCTGTCCCTGTGGCGCCCACCTCTTTCTTCTCACACGGGCCTTGCCCGTCCCATCGCGCACACAGCAGTACAGCCACACCAGTCCAAGCACCGTGGCCATGCAGCGAACCACAGAGCCCACGCTCTTCTCGCAAAGGGAGCAAGGAAAACCCGGGCATGCGCGACCACGCAGGCACCAGCCGGCCCCTTGGGCATGCGCATCTGTCCAGGTGCCCATTCTTGCCCGCTCGCCCTCTCTGCAGCCACAGTGCTGGCAGCCCCTTGCCGAGTCCAGCAAGGGCCTCTCCGGGTCGCTCTGTCCTGCCTCCCCCAACCACTTGTCCGGGAAAGGGCTATCCAGGACCTCGCCCCTGTCCAGAAAGCCAGAGGGCAGCAAAGTCAGCAGCCCCAGAGAGGAAGGCCACAGGAGGGTGAGGGCACGTGGTGTCCCCTGATGAAAGATTGGGAGGCCAAGGCCAAGAGTGTAGGGTATGTGTGTTGGGGGGCTTTCCCCACCCTCCAGGGGTGATCCCCCCCCCCCCCGCACCAGGGGCCACAGCTCATCTTCCCTCTCTCTGCCCACAGGCCCGCTGCCCACCCATGAGCCTCTCCAGTAGCCTCGCAGCTGCCGTGGGAGCCGCCAGTAACTCCCCCAGGATGCTCCTCTACTCAGTTCTGCCTACTTCCTGCCCGCACTCGCACCCAGGCGAGGTCAGAGCCCCTGAGCACTGCTGAGAGCCTAAGCTGACAGTGGGGAGCAGGGCCCATCCTGGAGTCCCACTGGGGCCAGTCTGTGTTCCTGGGATTGAATCTGGTGACACTCAGGTGACTCCACCAGCCACACCAACACTAGAATGGCCGCAGGCCTCAGAGCAAGCAGCTCTCAGCGGCCCTGGGGAAAGCCTGGCCTTGCTTCTGACTTCAGTACCACCGCTGGACATGGCCTTGTTTCTATGTCTCCTAGCATCAGAAAACTTCTGCCTCTTAGGGAAATATATGCGTATATATATGTCGAACCCCCAAAACATGAGGTATATAAACTCAAATTAGTACCCAGAGGAACTCTCCCAAACACATAGATCAAAGAACCCACTTTCAGAGGGGGATCTAGGTTTCCCTTCTAGACCCCCAACCTTTTCCTTCATAGGAAAAAAGCTGAGAGGAAACTGAGGGGACAGACAGAGTCTTGGGACACAGCCTAGATGCAAGGTGGCCCTGACCCAGCCAGCAATGGGCTGAAAGTAGGGGCCGAGATCCAGATCCATCATGGTGGAAGAGGGGGCACTAGGCCCAACACCATGCCAGGCCACAGTGCAGACAGCATGCCTCAGACCCAGGCTGCACAGGGCACTGCGCGGCTGGTCCTGGAACACAGTGAGAAGAGCAGGAGTCTGGCTCTCCCCGCCATGCACCTCCCCAAGCACAGTTCTAGCCCCCTTGGTATCCCACTTTATTCTGAGATGGGCTGGGGATGAGGAGGGTCATGGGGCCATTAGGATCTCGCAGGCCCCACAGAGCTGGGGCTTGGCATTTTGTGAAACGGAGGCAAAGGACATCAGGTTCCTTCCACCTTCACAGCCCACTGATGCGTGCATACACACACATGCACACACTCCGATGCATACACACGAGCACACACATACAGGCACACATGCACGCACACACACGGGTGGCGCAGAGCCCGCGTGGGCTCCACTCACAGTGACGAGATGAAACCCACAGACTCTGAGCTGGTCTGGGGTGTACCGGGAAGGCCATGGGCTCCCCCTCCCCGGAGGAGGGCAGTGCTGGGGCTCAGTGGACAGCAGGCTCTGGTCTGATCGCAGGGGCTAGAAACACATCATGAGGTGTTATCCAGAGGTGAGGCCCAGAACCCCCAGCTACCTCAGACAGGCTAAAGGGTGGGCAGGAAGGGAGTCCCCGAGGAAGATGCCGAGGGCAGTGGGGCTCCAGTGGCTTCTGCCTCCCCGGCCCACTTGATGCCGAGTCCACCCCACTCTGCACCAGGGCCTCGGACTCCCAGAGTGACAGAGGTTCAGCGGGTGGCTCCACTTGCTCCCCCCAACCTTGCACAGTGAGAAAAGGAGGAACTCCACTTTTGGAGTAGAGTGGAAGCAGCAAGTAGCCGGCTGAGGCCGAAAACCTCGGCTTCACAAGGCCAGGGTGCAGAGGAGCTCACCTGTCCATACCTCAAGTGCTGACCGTACCCCTACCAGGGCGGGCAAGATGGGAGTATTCATCTACCCAGCACTGAAGACTCCACAGGAATAGCCCTCACCCATGTGCCCCGGGTCAGATGAGGTTTATGAATGATGTCATTGATTCTGTCTGGCTCCCTCTCAGCCCCTGGGGCTGGAGGGACCATGGAATGGAAATGGACAGGCGGGAAGGGCATCATACCAATGTCCACCTCGAATCCCGCCCCCCTCCTGCCCTGCAGTCCTCTGGTGCACCATTCAGAGCCCCTCCAGCCTCAGTCTTTCTCCTGGGCAGTGCTGTCCTCAGAGATGCCCTGGGCAGCCAGTTCTGCCAGCACGTTGTCCAGGTAATTAGCATCCGGGTAGCCATGGCCAGTGAGATTAGAGCCGAATTCTGTTTTATGGTGCACCTCATTCCAGATGACCGTGTCAGACTCGCCCGTAGTGCTGGAGGTACCGATGGCAAAGATGAGGCGGCGATCCCAGGCCACCAGCAGCAGCTTCAGAACCTGGAGGAACCAGGGAAGGGCCAAAGCAGCAGAGTGTTGCTCAGAGGCCTCTGCAAGCACTCTGACCAATTCCAGGCTCTCTCGTGTCTACTTGCTCTGCTGGTCCTCACTGCCCTTCAGCCAGGTAAAGGGCAAGAGCAACTAATGACCCTATTTTACAGGTGAGCAAACTGAGGCCCAGGAGGTATGCAGGAGAATTTCTGAATGTCCTAATTCATCCAAATTCAGCAAAATCTTGACTAAGCGAAAATGATATCTAATGTTCCCTTTGCAGTCTTGGTCAGAGCAGGGTCCCTGATAAAAATGCCACCCTTTCTAGATGGAACTGCTTCAAATACAGTACGGGCTGGTGGGGCAGGGAGATCCTAACTTTAAAATGACAGCCGCTGTTTCCCGAGTAATAACTCACAAGCGCCAGACAATGAGTCATGCAATGGTCACAGCACACAGAGGGCCAAGGATTCTTATCATCACCTACTGACTGGAGTCAGGAGGTTTCAAGCACAAGGCCAGCTCTGAGCAATCTCAGGTCAGGGAGGGGCCAGGGATCCCGGGAGAGAAGGCCGTGCAGACACAGTCAGTAAATACAGACAGGGGTCATTATGGCAATGGAGCAGTCACACCACATCTTACAAACGCTACGTTCGCCTCATCCCTCCCACATTCCATCTATGCAGACAGAAATATCACCACTTTACGGGTTCAAAATCTGTGTGAAGGGCATAAAACTTCACACCAGCTTCCACAGCTGATGAATGGTAAAGCTGAGCCTCAGACCCAGGCTTCTCTGGCTCCAAGGCCCGGGCTCTTTATCAGCCCTCACTCTGCAGTGAAGTCTAGGACTGCAGTCCTGCACCTGGGGAGGGAAGAGGGCTAAATCTCACACCCGCAGATGTTTCTATGTTATGCTGCAGACTGGAAAAAAGGAAGAGTGAAAGCCACCAAAACAGCTTGGGTGATGTTAAATTTCACTTCTCTTAGACAAAGGCATTTGGTGTCAGACGCCATGCTTTGCGTGACTTACACAGAGGCGGACAAGAGATGAAGCAGTGTTCCCCAGGATCATGGAGGGGAGACAGCATGGGAAGGAAGGAGCCGTGAGGATATGGTGGGGACGAACAAGGGTCCGACCTAGGCCCCAGGGACCCAGGCTGCATCAGGGACACAGAGGGGAAGCATGACTCCTGCAGCACCCCCTGAGGTAAACAGACCTAGGCTCCAGCACAGAAATCGGCTCTTCACTGAAAACAGCCATCAGGCTTAGCCCTGGCTCCTAACCCAGGAATGATGTCCTGCGCCTTCACCCTGTGGCTGATTCCCTCACTGTCCCTACCTATCTGCTTCCTCCCTGGAAGAGGAGGACACAGCCAGGCCCAAGGTAGCACCCTGCAGGGGCTTCCCTGTGCCTTCTGCAAGTTTACCACCACTCACAAGGCATCTCTCCTAGACTTGGCTCCCTTCCAATGGGAAGACATGGAGTACAGAGCGCTGCTCTTCTGACCTGGATTCCAGAACAGAAAGGTACCTGCAGCAGCGTGAAGGTGGAAGCTTATGAACGCCTTCATTCATCTGTTAAAATCCCCCCAAGGGTAGCTAGGAGGTGGTAATTTGGAGAGACAGTGGTTGTTATTCAAAGGAATCTCAATGGATGGGAATAATGCTTCCCAGGAGAGCTGAGAGACCGCTTGCTCTTTGCCAGGGAGAACACCAAGAGAAGGGGTCATCTGCAGACAGAAGCAGCCCTTGCTAGACACCAAACTTCCCAGTGCCTTATCCTGGACTATGACAAAGCATAGTCCGGAAACTGACACACAGTATGTGTGAGAACTGAACATTTGCTGACTTAAGGAGCTAAAATCAAGAGAGTGAGCAGATGGGAATGCACCCCTCATTCGCTCCTTTCCCCAGCATTCCACACAGACCAATGGTTCTTTTTGCTTCTTGAGAGCAAGGAAAATTTTTTCTGGTCTCATCCACAGAAAAATAAATGAAAAGTTTTTATTCTAATTAGAGTTCATAGGACCACAGAAGTCTGATTGTGAGTTGCTGGGAATCTAAGAATCCAATCATTAGTCTGAGCTCTGCTCTTTGGGGAAAAGGTCCAAGAATACAAAAATACGCAAAGATAAAATGATCCTAGCTGGGTGTGTAGGTGCTTGCCTGACCAAGAGTTCAGACCAACATTGGGCAACTTAGCAACTAAAAAATAAAAAGCAATATTGATGGGGATATAGCTCAGTAAAAAGGACCTGGGTTCAATCAACAATACTGCAAATAAATAAGATATAAAATAGAATAACCCCCCACTGATGAAGATCTCCCTCCAGGGCAGTGCTTGCTCCTCTAATGTGTGATCCGCCAGGGCTCTCATTAGGATGAAGCGTGTCATGCATGCGTGGTTCTGAGTCTTTTCAAGCTCCTGGGGTCACTGTGAGTAGAGCCCCCAGTACCTGTCTTTAGTAGCAGGACTGCAGACAGAGGGACCATTATTGCTAGAAATACACTGGTGAGGAGAAAAATAAAATTTCTACAGCAAAAAAAAAAAAAAAACAAAAAAAAACAAAAACAAAACCCTATTCTGATCACACTCATCCTTCTCTATGGGTGACTCAGATGTGACCTCACTGCTGTGGGCCTCTAGAATAAAATGAGACCAAGCCATCTCAGATCAGCAGGAAGCAAAACCTCAGGCTCCCCCTTGCTCCCCAGCTAAGCCTCCGGCCTGCCCCAAAGCACGTGCACCGGCCTGCCCCAAAGCACGTGCACCTACCTTTCTCCCCTTCTCGCTGTCTGGAAGGTAGCAGTGTCGCGGGAAGCCGCGGGCACTGAAGCTCTTCCCGGGGTTTGGGTGTTCCGGCCCCTGAAAGCAGAAAGAAAGAAAACAAAAGGTCCTTTATGAAAATCTCTCTGGTAAGTGGAGGAACTGGCACAGTGATGACAATAACAGCCAGTGACTGACATAGCGTGAGCAGCTGCTTCACACACATGCATGGCATCCATGGTATCCGTGGCATCCGAGACCTCAGTCTGACCACATAGCCCGCTGGAGCCTTCTAGATGGATGTGGGCATGTCAACCCACTTAGTGTCATTATCCCCTCCTGCTGCACAGATGGGAAAACTGCACCCCGGAGAAGTTAAGTGGCTTCCGTGATGGTTGCAGCTCTGCTCAGACTTCAGGGCAGGTTCCCGCGGCTCACTCCAGACAACTACACCGAGTAACAGAGCATCCCTGCACTAGGGTCAGTGAGGGCAGGGTCTTCTCAGTGACTTGCAGATTTCCTCTGCATCTCTGGGAGTTCTGAACTGCTGTTCTACTTGGTAATATTGACGAGGATATATTCAGGACTAAAAGTCTCAAGACTAAAAGTCTCGCGATACTTTAGCTAGTGTCACCCACGGCTGCAGAGGCGATCTCAGGCCACTGGTGGGAAAGAAACTAAAAGGAAAACCCAATCAGAATCCAGAATCCCAATGCTGTAGTGGCTGGGGACCTGAGAAGTCTGACTCCACTGCAGCTGTGTTGGCCCCGGGCCTTCAAAACCAACTGGATTACTAGGAGAGGCTGATGCTCTCCTGACGGGGACACACACACACACACACACACACACACACACACACCCCTCCTGCCTATAAGCGTGGATACATTAAGTGAAAGCCACACTTCTGCAAGGTGACACTGCTCCTCATGCTTTCTCTCTTCTGCACACATCTGCTTGTCTTCTGCTTTTTTCACCGGAGCTGAAGTAGCACCAGGCCCTGCGAGATGGTGAACTGTGGGCAACCCATGTGAGAAATGCCCAGCCAGTCAGTTTAGCATGACTTTGGGTGTGGCTGACAGAAACATGGAGGAGGGGAGCCCCACCCTGGCTGTGGCTGGCACCCACCAATCAGCTTGCAGCCTGTATAGAATAAAAAGGGAAAGGAAGAAGTCTGGCAGAAGCTTCTTCACAGGTGCTCCTGTCTCTGCCATTGCCTTTGGGCATCCATCCCTAGACTTCCAGTGCAGCCTCTCTGGATTTCCAATATGTATGCTTGTGGGTTTCTGTGGGGAGTTCCAAACAGGTGACTTCTGACCAAGTCTGCTGGCCCTCCAGCACCCAGATGGCCTTTTTGCAATTTCCACATTGGCCTCTGCAGGCGGCCATCAAAAGCTCACCTTGTACTCCTTTACATATCACATTCGAAGGGTTTCATATGTATGTTATACATATGTTATGTATCTTATGACTAATACACCCTGATCAGATGCAGCTGCTGGTCTGTGACTTCCTAGCCCCTGGAGCCATAAGCCACACAAACCTCTATTCTTTATAAATCGCCCCACCTCAGCTATTCTCCTATAGCAACAAAGAACAGACCAAGACTCCAGACTGCCCATGGATCCACTGGTTCCTTTGAGAAGCTCACGAGAGGCAATGGACTCCAACAATCAATGCCATTACTCTGCACACATACTTATCTAGAATCTCTGAGCAGCATGGACCCCTCAGGGATGGAATCTTGCTTTAAAGAACTTCTGAATACAACTTAGGTAACAGTCATAATCCTATGCCATTGTCAGCAGCCTCTCCTGCAGAGAACTACCAAATGCATCCAGACTATAAATGAATGAGTGACAAAACCTTAAGAAAACATTGGGGTTTTTTATTTGGCTTTGTTTTCATGGTACTTGGGTTTGAACAATGCCCCATACAATGAGCTACATCTCCAGTCCTATGCAAGGACTGGAGAGACAAAATATTGCCAAGTTACCCAGGTTCAATCCTCCTACCTCAGCCTCCCAGAATGCTGGGATTATGGGCATGTGTCACCCTGCTCAGCCCTGAGTTTTCATTTTCTCTTATTATGCACCATGATTTGAAAAGGATGAAAAAGAATACGGTGTTTAAATTTATTGTCTGCAACAGCCTGACTGCAGGGAGTTAGGATCCGGTCTCCCTGCACGGCAGGGCCTGATTGTGCATGTCAGGAGGTCTCGCAGCCACATGTGTCCCTTCTCAGGCGATCACCGCAGGTGTGCATTATTCCCTGGGCTGCACTGTCTCGAGCCAGGCCACCTGCTCCCAGGTCTATTACTGCGCCATCCCAAAACTGTGTGCTGCATCCACTTACACTGGTCAGCCTGGCACTGACTCTCAGGCTAGGACATTCAGGCCAATACGAGGTGTAGCAGTCACAAGTTTTCCTGAGCATCTCCCAGGCAGTGGCTGTCTGCAGGAAGGGTGGCGCTTAGTCTCAAGCCTGTGCCTGAGGCAGCTCGTGCTCTGTGCAGGCAGCAGACAGCAAGCAGCTGCTCTGCTCTGGAGCTCCGGCGGTGAGGTGCTCTGCCTAGCAGATGCCCATCCAGATCCAGTGCATGCCAAGGCTGCCGAAGTCTATCCTGACCCCTGTGCTGACATTCACGATCCTCCTGCCCCACTGGCTACCTCGAGATCTGTTGGGAGCCGCGGCCGAGCCCGGTCGCCTTACTTGGCGGACGTGAGGCCTGTAGGAAAGAGCAAAGCCTGAGCTAGATTACCCCTCCCATCGAGTGTGCTAAGATGGCGCTTATCTCCTGCTTCCTGCTTGGTAAACAACCCGCCCTGTAAGATAGTCTGCCTAGCAACAACTGATGTTAGCCAATCAGCCCGCATCGCGCGCTTTGAACTGATTGGCCACTGTAACCCTATAAAAGTGAGTGCCTCTCCCGCCACGAAAGAAGAAGCAGAAGAAGCACGCAAGGAGCCGCGGAGAGCGGACCGGTAGAGGCTTCGGGACAGACTGTAGGGAGAAGCACGCAAGGAGCCGCGGAGAGCGGACCGGTAGAGGCTTCGGGACAGACTGTAGGGAGAAGCACGCAAGGAGTCGCGGAGAGCGGACCGGTAGAGGCCCTGACTTGGCTGGGCGCAGCAGGCCCTGTGTGCCACCTGTTCATGCTGTTCTTTCACAGGCTTTCACACATTCCATTTTATTCCCTTATCACTTATGAGTACTCTGAAGTTCCTGGTTCATTTCTTTGTCTACTTTAATATGCCCCAGCTCCACTACCATGGGGACTTCAGCTAACTTCTCTGGTACCCAGAACACAGCAGAGCTGTCACATACACTCAAACAACTGTTCTAAGACAGAAGACAAGGAACTGGCTGCGAGAGAAACAGGGAAACCACACCTTTCACAGAAGCAGAAAAAAATGAAATACTTTAAAGAAGACAAACGGGAGGGGGTAACAAGGGTGAAGTAATAAATATCCGCTAAAGAAATGGGTCCAGTCTGCACCCTGGCACATTCAGAAAAGGCTTCGCCGTGGGAAGGAAGGGTCCCATTTGTGTTTACTGTCAGGAACACTGCTCGAACTTGCCCTTAAGGACTTTCTTTCAAAGAGCCAAAGAGGAAAGAAATGCCTGCAAAAATCAAAGCGCCAAGTGTAGCTATCGAATTAGAAATGCAAATCACGGTCCCACAAAGAAATTCCACTTTGACAGGATTCCTGGACAGATATTTTCACATGTGCGCAAGGTTATTCATGACAGCACAATTCGTTGCAGCAAAAGATGGGAAACAATCCATAAGCCCATCAAAGAGAAGCTGCTGAATGAAATTATTCATACGACGGATTATTGTACAGACACAGGAAGCCATGAGGAAGCTCTCTCTAGACGGCCGTGGAGAACTCCACAGAGGACATTGTTCTCGGGAAACCGCAGGGCGTGAAACAAAGCGCCCGAAATGTCACTGTTGGTGTAAAAGCAGGAGGGAGGGGTGGGGCCTGTCCCTGCTTTGTGGGCACAAAGGATCCTGAAGGAGTCATAGGAAAGCAAGGACAATGGAGGCGAAGGAGGGTGTGCGGGGTGAGCCCCACTCAAGGCGGACGGCATGGGAAGGGGCTGCCGAGGAAGGCATGGGGCTCACCTGAATGCCAGGCGGGATGCTGTAGATGATGCGGATGGTCTTGCAGTCTGGGTGGCCGGGCAGGGAGTGCGGGATGAGGTGGTACTCCATCTTCCCCGGTGGCTGCGTCCCCGTCTTCACCCCATAGATGGTCTTGCATGTTGGACACTGCAGGCTCCCGTCCTGAGATGACCAGAGTAGGGAACAAACTTTGGTTACCAGCTCCCCACCTGACTCCAGAAGGTACCAGAGATCGAGGACCCAGGGGCAGAGCAGGGAGGAAGGTGCACTCAGCTGAGTACCAGACCTGAAACCCTGCCCGATGACCTCCACAGAAGCGGGAAAGAAGGTCCAGAGACAGCCCCCAGCTCCATGCTAAGGGACATAAAAAGACGCCCCTGTCCTTAAGTGGGACCAGCATGGGATCTACACAGGAGTCACTGTTTTACCACTAAGTCCCAGGTGGATGGGTCAGACAGCAAGCTTTCAACAGCATCACTCACTTAGGGGGATTCTCTACATAAAGCCACCCGGATCCCAGAAGAAGACTCTGCTGGTGAGAACAGGAAGGCTATAAATTGTAGCAGCTCCATTCTCAAATCACAGTGCCCAAGTTTGAGTTTGAGCTCTCTCACCTACCGGCTCTGTGACCTTGGGCAAATTAATTAACCTCTCTGAGACTCAGTTTCCATGCAGAACAAGAAAATGAATAATATCTGTCTTGCTCATTTGCTGGGGAATTAAAGGCAGTGATCCGCAGGGAGGGCTTAGCACTTGGCATCTCTAAATGTGATCAGCGTATGTGGTTTCCAGCAGCCCAATGCCTGCTCAGCGGGTTTAGAACCCAGCCTCGAGAGAAGACAGAAAGTACATCATGCAGCAGTAAATAAAGCTGGCTTTACAAATGGTCATAACTTGGGTCAGAAGGACAGAGGGGAAGTGCTTCACAAAAAGGAGGGCAGGATGCCATCACTTACAGGATTCCAAATGTACAGCCCTCCTGTCACACAGCCTCACTTTCTGATATTAGATAGGAAGAACTTATAAGCTAAGTCCAATTTATTGACTTTGGTTTTTCAATAGTGAAGGCGGAATCAGAGCCTTCACACTGAGTTACAAGCCCAGCTGATTTTTAATTTTAATTCAATTTTGAGATAGAGTCTTCCTAGGTTACTAAGTTGTCTAGGCTGGGCTCAAATTTTCAATCCTCCTGCCTCAGCCTCTGAGTGCTGGGATAATGGGTGTGAGTCACTACATCCAGCTTTTTATTTTTATTTTTTTAAAGAGATTAAGACAAAACAGGACATAGCAAAGCAGATCAGAGCAGAACAATGTAAGCAACACAGTATTTCACCAGAAGACAACCCGTAATTAACAGTAACAACCATAATGTGTCTTTCTTTGAAATAGTTGAGCATATCAGCTTTTTAAAGAAGGGATTTGAGGCATCACAAGATCAATGTCTACTACTGCTCTCTGGGGCTGGGACCTCAGGGCCACCACTAGCTCTGGACATGGGGACAGGAGCGCCATGGCTTCACTGCAAGATCCAGGGAGGAGTGGCCTGCAGGGATGGGCAGAGCCTGTGGAAGGCTAGGACGCGGAACTCCCAGCTCAGGAACAGAGAACCCTGGCATGAGCACAGCATGGACCCATGCACTCAGAGAGTCCCGTCCCTCTGGGAGGCAGGCTCACTGGGCTAGCCTGGGCGTTTCCAGCCCAGCTGTGCTCATCTAGAGGAACGGCTCAAATTCAGGGTGAGGACGCTTTGGGCCAGGGCCCAGCTCTCTGCCCGGGCCTTCACTTCCTCATGACCACGGGTGAATCACCCGCTTTCCTCCATTGCATTTGATGAGATGAAAATACACGTTTCAGAGCCTTCATACAAAGGAGAACCAAGGCCGCTGCCTTGAGAAAGAATTCTGAAGCATTACGCATGCATGTTCAAAGCCTTACTACGCATTCTTCAATTATTCAGGCATCCAAAAAGCACCAAAAGTGCTAAGCACACTCTTCACATCAAAACAACCTTTGAAAATGCAATGCTGGAAAGAAAACCTTTGGCAGGGGTGGGGACTGAGCATGGGGTCCAGAATGAGGTCCTCCACCACAGACTGGTAATGGCCTGGGTCTGAGTCTACAAACACCAAGAAGAGCCACAAAATAACCCTTTTGGGACCTCAACCCATAGAGAAGGCAAAGATGAGGGAAATGACAGCAGCAATCCAAGCCACCACCATTAGGATTACAGCCTACAAAATGAGTACTGTTTTCTCTTTATTTTCTGGATGGAAAATGAGATCTCAGCAAGGCAGAAAGATCTTTCCCAAGGTCATCAGCTTCTAAGCCAGGATTTACACAGATGGGCTTCTCTCTTGCTGCTACCCCTCCCCATAACAGATTCACAGAGCAGCCTCGAAGGTCAGACAGTTTGCATGAGGGGAACATCAAAAGATAGCAGAGAAACGTTAGACTCAGGAGGAACGAATGGGAGAAAGGCACAGGATTCAGGCTCTGGAGGTGGAGGTGGGAGCAAAGAAAGGAACACAAGGCAGTGACTTAGAAAAGCTTATACAGACATCAAATGGGGGGAATCATCTGTCACCCACGGCAGGGCCCAGAGCCCTGAGGACCAACCGTCTGGGGAAACCTCCCCACTGTCCGGTAATCAGGTCACCAACAGTCTCCCTGTCCTTTATCCACGGGGTCTGCAGCAGCTTTGACAAGGATCTCTAGCCCTCCAGAGGGGACAGTCAGGGCTTCTGAAGCCCTTCAGAGGAAATAAGCTACAATTTAAACTCACTATCCTGGGGGGAAAAGACAATGGAAAACCCCTCGCCCAGGCAGGCGTGAACAGGCCATGAAGAGCCCCTCCAGCCTTCACCAAGAGGGTCCATTTCCCCTAGCAATGGGCCACTTCCCTCCAAACCCCTGGGGAAAGCTGGGGCGTGGAGCCCAGAGACAAAGTGAAGACAACTTGGGGGAGAACCGCTCCTGCTGAGAAGGATGATCACTCTGCCATTGGGAATCCTCTAAGCCTGCCCAGACTTCCTGGGGGAAGAAAAGGGGTGCTCCAGGCCCTGGGTCCCCGCAGCAGCCCCACAGCAGGCACACACCTTGTTCCCGTTGTTGTACATGGCGACCAGGCAGTAGATGTGGTAGACATGGCCACAGCGTGACAGCTTGCCCACCACGTCCGGTTTGACCGTGGGCTGTGGGCCCTTGTAGCCTGAGGGAGCTGTGAGGCGTTCCATGCAGATGGTACAGTCCTGTGGGATGAGGGGTAGAGTGGGGCCGTCACTGCCACCCACCCTGCACATTCAGGGGTCAGGGAGTCGCTTTGGGCCTCTCCTAGAAAACCCAAGAAGCTGGCAGCAGCTGTGGGGTGGCTTTGGGGATTCACATACTATACTCATTGCCCTGCAAAGCAGTCATGCCTGGTATTGGACCATGCTAACTTGGGCTCACATGTGTGTCGTTTGGGTACCCTCAGGATGCACGGTCCATCTTTGCTGGAGTGCTCTGTCAAACTTAACTTAAACCGCACTGTAAAGGGGCCCCTGATCTGAACCAAGACAGCAAGGAAGGGCACAGGAGAGGGGCCAGAAGGGAGGTAAGAAGATACGGAGTGTGCCTGCATCAGCACCCCAAGATGAATTTCATCATCGGTATTGCACATGTGCTCCTAACAATTTTAAGAATTAAAATATTTTTAAAAGAATTTTCAAAGTCCCAGAGGCTGTTGCTTAAATAAATCTGCAATAGTTTTGTCAACATCAGCACTGCTGTTTTAGAAGCATGTATCTGTCGTTCTCCGTGCTGCCTCGCTGCGGCCAGCGCTGGGGGCTGCGCAGCTCCTGGCCTCTCCTGCGAGCGCCCACCTCCTGTTATCACACTCCAGGTGTCTCTGAGGCTAGGCGCTGCCCCAAGATGCTCCGACTCCAGCCAAGTTCATTTAAAGCCAATGTCCTTGGAGTAGCCTGCTGCCTTCCTAAGTTCAGACTGTCCTGGAAAGGAGCTGAAAATCAGCCAGTATCCTGTTAAGTGGGGACAGCTGTGGTCATAGCCAAAGCTCTTAATCATGAACCTCGGAGCCCTGATGCCGCCTGCCCTGACAGCTCTGCTCGTAGAGTCCAGGACAGATCATGCATGCAGGGGAGGGGTGACACCTGTGCTCACCTCCTCGGGTGGGTGCCGGACCTTCTGCAGATACTTCTTCAGCACCTCCTCTGGGGTTTTACCTGTAGGGACAGAGAGATCACAGGTCACCACCAAAAGGCCGGAGTCCAGTGGCCTTCCCAACTCAGGCCTGTGGAGAGGAGAATGAGAGCCACATTCCAGGCAGAAAAGCCTGCCAGCTCATTCTGCAAGTGGATTTGAGAGAGTGAAAGAGAATTCAGGTTGTGGAAGAGCCACTGGGTAAACTGAGGAAGAGTGATGCGTTGGCATCGGCCCACCCCACCTGTGGCTACTTCCCTGACCCACCTCTGCCTATTTCCAGCTAACCCACATCTCAGAGGCGGTAAATGAGGGAGTTTCTTTTCTTCACAAACAGCTGAAATAGAAGAAATGAAAGCAGTCTGCATGCAAAGCTGCTTTCAGCAAACATTTGTACTCCTATAGGAAGCCGGAAAGTCAGGACTCACAGCTCCCAGATGGCAGAGGTGGCCCTGCAGCGCGGAGGGGAGAGGCCCAGGGAATGTCCCGACAGTGGCAGGGATCTGGGGCTCCTCTGGGAGGGACTCTCAGGAAGTGGCAGCCTGCGGGCAGAGAGCTCCAGCTGAGCTTGTCTTTTCACCTATAAAACTCGGGATTGATCGCATTGCCTGGAAGCAGTGCTGTCACAATTCGCAAGCTAATGGACAGGCAGCCCCTGCACTCTGCCAGCTAAAGGCAAGATCTGTGCCATTAATAATAACAGGAAGAGGGCGACAGTGCAAAACCCTGTCCCTTTGGATCAGACTTCAAGCAGGCCAACTGAGTTCACTTGAGCAAGGTAATTTTAATAGATTAGAAAGTAGGACAGGGGTTTGTAGAAGTGGATGGTGAATGGCCCGAAGCTCAGGAGCTGTATCCTGCGTGTCTTGTAAGAATCAAGCACCTATGAACGGAACCTATGACTCGCCCTGCCTGGGCTGAGGCCACATGAAGACAGCTGTACTTAAACCTCACAAGAAGTGTGCAAGGGAGATAACAACAGTGTTCCCCACCCAGAAAGACCTGCTGTGGGGGCTGAGTCAGAGCCTTGGAGGCCAAGGACCAGAACCAACCCTTTGTGTGTCAGGCTAAGGGACAGGGAAGTGTTCCTCAAGGAGGGTTCAAGTGCCAGGGGACCCAGAAGAGCCAGAGGGAGCCAAGATGGTGGCTACTTCCTGACTGTCAGGACAATAACAGGACACACTTGGTTTGATCAAAATACATTGTGAATATTTAAATTAGAAAACAAACTGTTGCAGTCAAAGGCATCATCATTAATCCCTGTCAAAAACTAGACTCCTCTGCTTCAAGCACACATTTTTCTTGCCACTTTCTGAAGTAGTTCCAAAAGTCCTCCTTTCTGAGTGTGTGTATAGGTATGATCAAAAATTTGGTGCATGTGACTGCTGTGTACCATCTAATGAACAAGCTCAGAAAAATGTCAGTGTGTCCCTATTTACCTCATTGATTAGCTCTGGCACCATGCAACTTCAGCTCCCCCTACTGTCAAAACGACTATGAAAGGTAAACATTTTAAACTGATTTGGGGCATACAGGCAGCCATGACAGTGAAGGCAAAGACACCAATAAAAAAGGACTTCCAGAATTGCTCTAGAAAGAAGCAAGACAGACAGGGTAAGTATATCCAAAGCAAGGGCATTCATGCAATGGACCTGGGCCCGTGAGGCATCTTCTATTAATTTAAACATCCACTGCAGTCTGTGACCACACCTGGTTCCTGCTGAGCAGCAAGAGTGGCCATTTTTACCCCACGATGAAGAGAGAAGACACAGGCTCCATGCAGTCACTCAAGTAGCAAATGACAAAGTCAGGATATGAGTCCAATCAGGCCAAAGTATTCTTTCTCTTGTAGTATGCACGTCTGATACCACACATAGTACTTTTGTTCTCTGTATTCTCGCACTGTGCGTTGTTATTTCTGAAGGTGCGACTGTCTGATCCACACACAACCTTGGTATCATCAAAACCTGCTTGCAGGACCCCTGTAGCGCCAAGTTCTTGACCCCAAATCACCTCAGAGCAAGAGGCCCGTACCTTTCTTTGCCTGCTTTTTGGTGGTTTTGCGGCTTGTGTTGGAAACGCCTGGGATGGACTTGATCTCGCTCTTGCTGACAGGTGGCGGGTGGAGGACGAGCTTAGGGGGGCGGGTGAGACACACGGGCAGCCCCGCAGCACTCATCAGGATTCCGGTGATTCCTGCGGGGCAGGGGCGAGGAAGGGCTGAAAGAGGAGCCCTGCATCCCCACACAGCTCCCTCCCTGCCGCAGTCCGGGCTTCCCAGCATATCCCAAGGTCTCTGCTTGCTCTCTATGGTAGCATTCCAGATCTCCCCAGATTCCTCCCGCCCTCTCCGTGCAACTCACAGGGTCTCCCTATGCCGAGAGGCACACCCGTCTCTCCCCCGCCCAAGCCTCAGGCATGTTTCATTTCCGGAATTTTCTCTCTCAGCAAGCCCAGCCCTGGGGGGCCTTACCTGCCAAGGCGGGATTGACGGGACTCGATCCGTTGAGGTTCTTCACGGGGACCGTCGGGACCCTGCAGAAAGGAAAGGAAGGGCAGATCCATCAGGCTTCTGACAGGTGAGATGGCATGAACTGGTATTTCCGCCTCGAAGGCGAAGATCTTCACTCAGCAGCCGGTGAAGGAGGAGGTGGTGACAGGCTTAAGACAGAAGTCAGGCCCCATCGCCCTTTTGCTAACTGCGGTGCTCCAAGTGGCTCTGTTTGCTAGGGGTCATGGTCAAGGTCTAACAGCTCTCAATCCACGTGGCTTTCCGGCCCTCCCACCTCAGGACCTTTGCATGCCCTGGTCCCTCCAGCCATAGTGCTTTCCATAAAGTAACCGCACAGCCCTCTGGCTTAGATCTGACCTCTTCTGTGAAGACCCTGCAACCACTTTATCTGATCCTGCTACCCCTCCACGCTATCCTGGGACTCCCAAACCTTCCTACAGGCGTCATTATCTTTTTCTCATGGAATTTACGATCTTTTAAAATAAGTCCTGGCTTCTTATCTCCTTCTAGAATGTCTGCTCTTCAAGGGCAAATACCTGAGTCTGCAGTGTTCAGTGCCCCGCACAAATCGGCACTCAATCAGTACTCACTGAAGCAAAGAGAAAAGCAAGCAGTCCATACCCGAGTCTCCCACCGCTGCACAGGGCAGGTAGACATGAACCCGCGCCTTCTCTGGGCACACGTAAGCAGCAGACACAGGGTGGCCCCAGCACAGCCTGGGGAACTTGGCTGGAATGGCTGGCCCCTCCCCTTCCAGGCCCCTTCTGTCCTCTGCAATGCGGGCGGGTGGGGCACAGGCACAGCTGTTTGGAAAGCGCTAGGCCACCCACGCAAGGAAGAAGGTTGGGGATCCAGGGGCTCCGTGGGGCGGGGAAGCTGGCTGGCTGGGAGAGGTCTCCAGGAACTGGTGGGCAGTACTGGGAAACCAGACAGACAGAAGGAAAAGAATTTGTAAAGTACCCCAGCCTTGGTTTGTGCCAACCACTGAGCTCCATTCTGGGACGCTGTAGAAAGCATGACACCCCACGGGGCCTCTTGTCTCTGGTTAGGGTCCTCACACGTCCCAGCTTGCCTCCCACCAGCAACCAGCCAGGTGCTTACAACCCAGGCAAGAGGTGTTGTGTCCACCCTGCTTCACAGACACGGAAGCCAGCACCAAGATCACACTGGCAAAGACTAACTCAGGGCTAGATGAATGGGTAAAATGTGGAGTACTACTCTGCCATAAAAAATAATATATTTGAGCCATCCATGCAAAAATGGATGCATGTGGAGACTACAATGCTAAGTGAAATAAATCAGACAGAAGCTAAAATACCACAAGGTTCTCTGATAAGAGATGCCCACAGAATAAAGAGCAAAATGAGACAGATGATAGAAAATGGGTGGTAGCAGGTGTGGAGATGGGAAGGGGAAGGAAATCTGGTTAAGATGCTGTGGCAGTCATACACCAGTTCCCGGAAATGAGCACAATTCCTACAGATCACAAACACGTAGACTAAGACACTAGCCTGCTCCCTGGGCTGAGCTCCTAGGCTACCCCCTACCACCCTGGGTGCAGGCAGAGAATGTGGACTGGAGTGCAGCAGATTCAAACAGAGGGCAGAGCTGGACGGGGCCTGGGGCAGCAGCAGGGTGACTTGTGGCCGAGGGGAGGGGGCCCTTAGAGAAGAGCCTCATACCAGGGCTGGGAGAAGGATGGCAGAAGGTTTGTGTCTGCACCCGGCCACCAAGCGTCCTCTTCCTCCTGAGCTGTCCCCTGGACAAATCTGTCTGTGTTCAGGAAGGGAAGCTAGGCCGAGAATCTAGGAACAGGCTTTGGTCTGGACCTGAAGCCTGCCAGGCAGGGCCAGCCAGGGCTCACCACAGAGGAGCTGCAAGGAACACAGGTTCCATCCCCAGCCCCACCAGCCGCTCCTCTCAGCACCAGTCTCACTTTTCTGAGCCTCAGGGCAGAACTGGGAGCTGCCTTCAGGACAAAGACGGCCCACACCAACTGCCCAGGAGGCTGCCACAGCTAGGCCCTGGGCTTCTCCTCCACCTGCCTGAGAGAATCCTCCTGTGGGCTCCCCTGGCCCAACCCGAGAGCACTGTTCCTCTCTCCAGCCCAGCTGATAAAGGGCAGAGCCCTGGGTGACCAAAGCCACCTTTGTTCCAGCAAACTGGACAGGCAGGTTTCCACACCCTGATCTTATCACCTGGGAAACACCCCTACTGTCAGAGCAGCCTTGAACTGCTGGAGATGGAGACAAGCAGGAACCTCCCCCCCACCAACAGGTGACACTGAAGCTGCTCAGCCTGCCCAGCCCTGGACCCTGGGAGTGCTGCCCAACCTCCGCGCTTTCTCCCCTGTGCTGGGTTCCTGTGACCATTGAGGATCTAGCACAAGTTAGCTGTAGCACAACCTGGGGTGACTGCTCACACCCTCCCGGCCTGGAGATCATACCAGGCCCAACCCTGACATTTAGGCTGGGGTCCTGGGTTCCCCAACTTCTCAAGGACGGGGTCAGGTGGAGAGCAGCCGGCAGGCCCTCGGGGAGTGTCCAGCCCGCAGCAGCGGAGCCCCTCCTCCAAGGCTCCTAGTTAGAGGAAAACCTGCCTTATCTTGCCAGCTGGGGCCCCAGCTCTGCCTGACCAGTGCTGAGAGTCACCTCTCATCCTCCAGGCAACGGGGCCCAAAGAGCCCCCCAAAACGGCCCTTGGGTTGTTCTCAGCAGTGGAGGGCCCACGTTTTATTTGCTGATAAAATAGAAAACTAAGCAGAGAGGAGAGAGGAGAGGCTTCAGGACAGGATGGAGAGGGAGAGCGCTGCACACACTGGGTTGTGGGGGGAGAGGTAGTTTTCTGGGTTAGTGCCAACACAAGACCCAACGCAGGACACAATGGACCCGTCACTACAACAACCAGCCATGCTGGAGCTAAGGACCAGACGACATGAGGAGCCAGGTGACTCCTGCCCTCCATGGCACCCACCACGGCCTCCTTTGTTCCTCCTTAAACCCCCCTCTTCATCCTGCATCTCCTCCGGTCTTCTCCATGGGAAAGCTGTCTGCAGAGGTCACGGGCAGCCCGGGAGGGGCGAGGCCGAACAGCAACAGAAGGTTGGTGGCAACGCCAAACAAAAGGAATGAACACGCTCATTAAGTGGCTGAGAAAGGCCTTGGAGGGCCAGAGGGGCCGGAAGAGGTAGAAAGGGAAGGACTGCAAGGCAGAGGGGCACCAAACAGAAACGAACCCAGCTCCTCTTTCAAGCCCTCTGACAGTGTACGAGGCATGTCCTCCCGCCTTCTAGTGCTGCAGCCAGTGGTGGATGAGGAGGGAGAGAGGCAGAGATAAAGGCTGTGCCCCCCTCATTGAGATTCAAAGCCCAGCGGGCAGCGCCTCCACTGGCCCAGGGTCACTTGGCATTAGTTAAGGGCATGGGATGAGGAGGCGGAGACTTATCCAGCCTCTGCTTCATTCCATCAGCTACACAGCTCATTTCAATACACAATCTCTAAGGTAATGACCATGCAGCCTTGGGGAGGGGGGCATGCCTGAAGCACTGCACTCCACTCATGAGCCATGGGCCACCTCACTTCCTCCTCCTGCTCGCCTCATGTGGAAGGATGAGGCCACTGTTCCACGTCCACAGAATGCTCGACCAGCCCTGGGGCTGAGCACGAGCCCTAGGCCCCCACCACGAAAGCAGCTGGGCCTTAACCTCTTGTCTGAAACTTGGGCCTATGACCCTCCCAGGGGAGTCAGAGCTGGGCGTGGTGCCTTCACCCTAGTGAAGGAACACAGTAACACCAAGGGCACACACCTTCTCCCTGGGGCCATCTCACAGGGGCTCCAGGGAGTGGCTCAGAGGACCCCCAGTGCTCACCTGGTGCAGAGAGGAAGCACGGACACTAGTCCCCTGACACCTTGGGTGTCCACCCCTTCCTCCCTGGGCAGCCAGCTAGGAGCACAGATTCAGGCTCAGGTACCCAACACTCAGCTCAGTCCATCCTGACCCTCTGCAGGGGGGAGGGGGAGGTGGGGCGGAGGCGGGGCAGAGCCGGGTCCCCAGGGAAAGGGTAGACCGAGTGGGTCACCAGAAGCCAGCTTGAAGCGCTGATGTGGGTCACCCCAAGTCTGTGACCAGGAAGATCAAGAATATGCAAAGCAATGCTAACAGGAGCTGCATCGCCCCTGGGGTGTTACCAGCACAGAGGAGCTGAGGCACAGGGAGAAACCAGTCATCAGGATAGGGACCCTGCAGGGAAGAGCCAGGTGCCCTGGAGCCGCACCCCAGCCTCTGCTGGCTTCCCACTCTGTCCTCTTGAGCAAGTGAATCTGCCCCAGGCATGCTGCCTGCCTCCCAGAGCCACAGCCAACAGGTGATGACAACCAGGCCCCAAAGGGAGCATGGCAGGGCTCTGCCAGTGTGGCTCACAAAGACCTAGTACAGATAGTCGCTTCAACCCTGGCTCAACGGCTGAGGTTGTGTCCTGAGTGCCATGGCAATACCATGCCCACATCTCGATGAAGAGCCTTGTCTGCAGGAGTCCAGGGTGAACCCTCCCCATCTGCCTGCAGCCAGGGGTCAGTGCCCATGACCAAAGCATAGCTCAGCGTCACCGCTGCTGCTGACCTGGGAGGCAGACCAAGGGTTGTACAGCAGGTATGAGGACCTACCCAGAGGCAATCAGCACCCGGGACTGGGCGATGGCCAACCGCTGTAGGTTGTTCCGACTTAGGGTGGCCAGGGCTACCCTCCCAGCCTTGCTGTCAGCTCCCGGGGGGCTGGCCGGAGAGCCCACCACGGTCCCTGCCACTGTACTGGTGGCCTGTCTCCGGATTCCCTGTGCCGGGGTAGTCTTCCCTGGGCCTCGAGTGGTGCCCATGCCATCCAGGGGCTTGGCTGCAGGGCCCGGGGCTGAGGGTAGCTTGACGGTCCCTGAGAGGGGCACAGTGTTCTTGCGGGTCGCTGCTGCGGGCTGGGGCGTAGTGCCCCCCTGGGCCACAGCTGCCTTGACGCTCATGACCAGCACACACTGCGGACAGGCGCACGGTGGCCCAGGGGGAGAGGCTGGTGATGCAGGGCTGACCGGCCAGGACTGCGGCTTGGGTAGGGAGCCGGTGACCATGGGATAGATGAGGTCCAGGCGCCGGCGCACACGGCGCTGCCGCTGGGTCTGCCGGTTGATCTGGCCCATGGTGCCAAAGTCGATGATGTAGCTGAAGCCGATGGACGTGAGGTCCACCCAGGGGTGCTGCTTCTCATAGGCGTGCTGGATGGTGATCCCCACTTCCATGTCATAAGGCGTCCAGGAGCCGCTGTCGTTCTCCCACTCCCACACCACACCCTTTCCGGGGGCTGAGCTCGGGTCGTAGTAATTGCGGCGAACCGGTCGGAGGGTCCCTGCCAGGGAAGGACAGAGTAGAGGTCAGGGTAGAATCACACAGGACCCAGCTGTGTTAATATACAGACGCAAGAGGAGTCCTACTGTGTGCCAGGCCCTACGCAGCCCACTGAGTAACAGTGCTGGACAAGAGTCATTCCTGCCTTTTATTTATTTAAGATTAGAACACCAGGGAGGGAATCTAGAACCTTCCCATGGAGCTATATCCCAAGCCCTTTAAAATTGTTCTAAATTTTGAGACAGGGCATCACTAAGTTGTTAAGTTGGCCAGGCTAGTTTTGAACTTGGAATCCTCCTGCCTCAGCCTCCCAGCGTGCTGGGATCACAGGTATATGCCAGCTGTGTAGCTTCCTTCCTGTGTTTAAGGAGCTTCCACTCAAACCAGGCTAGAACCTGAGAAAACAGCATGCAGCAAGCGGGTGGTGGGGGAGGGAGCAAGTGCCAGAGTGCATGGAGCACGCCTCCTGGCTTGCAGTCAGGACAGAATGGTGTGCAAACAAATTAACTGACTTAGGAGCTGATAAAAGATGCCCGTCTGAGCCAGCTCTCCTGCCTGAGAAACAGAAGGCTCACTCTTTCCCAGGGGTTCTGTAAAACTGGATGTGACTCAATTGTCCGACTCAACAAATGCTTGCACATGTCAAGGGCCAGCTCTCACACACATACCCCAAAGTTTGCACGGAACTCACAAAGCTCTCAACACAGACACCCATTCCTTCTCCCTGTCCCGCTGCTGCCCTGCATCGAGGGGAAAAGGACACAGGGCTGGGGACGCAGGGACAGCTTGGTTTGCCTCTTGGGGGTGTTGCAGCTGGCTGTGGCTTTTTAGGGTATAACTGAACAAAAGGTGTATCATGGTGGGGGTAGGAGTCGGCAAAAAGAACGCATAGTTATGCCCCAAGATTAAATCTTAGGTCAACAACAGTAACATTTGCCATGGACATGAGAAACTTTGGTAAGGATCCTAGGTCTCCCTTTCAAAAGCGCTGACCTCCTGAGGACAGCAGCCATGTTTGGACAGTCTCACCTGGGTATGGAAAGGCTGAGCCAGTCTAACAGCCCAGCAGAAAGGACCCTGCAGAACTGCAAAGGACAATTGCTCCTGTTCCACTGTGCATCCTACACCTGCACCCAGACTCAGACCTAGCCTCCCAGGGCTCTCTCCTGCAAAGGACACCAGGCTGAGGTCAAGCTGAGGAGTGGGCAGGGCTTCGGGGTGCTGGGCTCCCTGCTATCTCAGCCAAGCCTGACCCATGGAGCAGTGGGAAATGGCTCCCCTTCGCTGGCCTCTGACCCACCCCCTCCTGCAACCCAGGGGGGACAGAATCCCATTCAAGAGGGGAAGAAAAGGAACAATGGCTATTCAGGCTTCTGCCAGGGTCACAGCCCACTCCCCAGCCCATCTCCAAGCCCCCTAATGACCCAAAACATCAACATTCAGAGGCACAAGGGAGAAGCAGAACAATCCACTATTCAAGGCCTGGCCTCTGCCAGGAACCAGGGTCTCAGCATAGAAGGAGGGGCGGGGCCTTGCTTCCTTCCTAGGGGCCAGCTTGCTGGGGAACAAGCAGGGCTCTGGGCTGCACAGCAGAGTTCCCAGATCTTCCAACTCTGAGGTTCAGCCTCAGTTTCCCCATGTGTTCTCCTAGGTGGCCACTTCAGCAGGTAGATCTGAGGGTCAGATGAAGATAACGACTCCCAAATCGCACCTGTCACCAGGCAAGGGGGTCAATAAAAAGGTGACTGTTGTTGGAATCTGTTCTATGACAGAAGGTATAGGAAACGTGTGTGTGTGTGTGTGTGTGTGTGTGTGTGTGTATCTGGGGGAGAAATAGGCGGCAGGGAGGACAGGAAGGGGGGAGACTCTAACAAACTTTCCTACATAAAAGGACCCTCGAGTATGTCACCCCACATCATCCTCACAACAGTGTTATGAGCACCCTTCACAGCTGAAGGGATTAAGCCTAGGTCTTAGAAGGCACACTTGATCGGTGCTCACTGATGTGCTCAAAGGGCACTTTTCTTTCAACAGCTGTGCTGAGATCCAGGAGATTCCTGGGAGGTGTCTGGGAATCTTCAGAGGTCACATCACTACCCCGCAACCTCCCTGGGAGCTGGCACCTCTTTGCCATGTGTTCCGCTGGGGTTCCTCCTCCACTGTTCCCCACTGAGACACCTCTTTTGCACTGTTTTCTCTTCCTTCTTCCTTTCTCCTTCCTCCCTCCCTCCCCCTTCCTATTCTTTTTCATTTTCTATGGTACTGAATGGAGGAACTTTATACTCAAACACATTTCCACCTTCCCATTTTTTATTTCTGAGAGAGTCTTGTAAAGTCACAAGGCTGTCCAGGCTGGGCTCAATCTTATGACCCTCCTGCCTCAGCCTTCCAGAGACCTGGGGCTACAGGTATGAGCCCCCATGCCCGGCTCTCTTTTGCCATTTCCACCCACAGAAATCCTCCGTCTCCTTCAGGTCCTCTCTCATTTCCCAGTCATTTCTTGAAACTCTCCCAGCTGAAGCCCCACACTGGAGGGAAGTGTGAGGGGCAGCACTGAGGGTCAGTGCAGCTGCTGGGTGCTGGGAGTGGGGGAAGGGACACTGTCGAGCAGGTCTTTGTACTCCAGGGCCTAATGCAAGGGCCCACAGGCTACACTGGACTGGACCGGAGACTCTAGCTGTCTGCTGCTTAATTGCTGATCACATATCGCTGCGTGCTCATCAGTTACCATGGAGAAGGCAAAATGCAAGCATTCCTAGGGCAGTGCAAGGCTCTGACAGGGTAGAGGACGAGGGTGTGAGTGGCTATGTTTGATGCACAATGTGTCACAATGCCTGCTGGCAGGAAACCGGACCATATCCTCTCCTTGCTAAATCCCTTGTATAGCTTCCCTTCGGATCCCTCTGCCCACCCAACTCTCCAGGCTTCCCAGGGCCTTCCAGGAGCAGGTTGAACTCTGGTCCATAGTTTTTGCAGCAACTATCTGAACATGTAGTCACACATTTATCCGCATCTACTCTAATGACAACCTGCTTCCTTCCAGAGTACAGAAGTGGCTCTCAGTTAATCCCACAGGTAGGCCAGGTCCTAGGGCTCAGAAAGTATGCATGGAATAAATAAGGCCTGGATGGTCTGGGGCACACTGGAAGAAGTAGATGACAAAGTACACAGGCTTTGATGGACAAGAATTCCAATTGGCAGAGCTGGTGAGGAGTGACATTTTTGTTGAAGAGACCTTGTAAATAGCTGGGATGGGGAGAAGGATGGAGAATTCTGGGAAATCACAAGGCAACTTGTAACAAGAGAAACTCCTGCCTGAAGAAGGCTAAGAAGGCACCCAGAGGGAGAGGGGAATTGTCCTACTGCAGGGTGCTTGCAGCTCTTTCATTCAGGGGAAGTCCATGGTTCCCAGCTTTAAACTGGCTTGGGGACAGTGGGAGATTTAATTAAACATTGGGCTGAAGCTGCTCAGGCACTGGTGGCTTTAGGTTCCTCTTCCATACGGGTCTCATCAGTGAGTTGTGCTGAGAGGAGCCACAGGGGTGTTAGTGGGGAAAAGAGGAAGGGGCTTAACCCCAGCCAATGAGCTCCATGGCTCAGCCTCCCTGGGTTCTGAACCCACAGCCCTCAGAGTCACACAGGACACAGCACTCAGAAAAGGAATATCTGCCAGGGGAGAGGAAACACTCCCTGGATGGTCTTGCCAGGGCTAGGCTCAAAACCCTAGCTGAACTGCTAATCAGCAGGCAGTGGCCAGTCAGTCCCTAGAGAAGAGTGACCAGACCCAGGCAGGTAGCTTTTGTGCATTCGGTCAGGCTTCTCTCCAACTGGCCAACCTTAATAGCCAGAAGAGTGCTTTCGGATGGAGAAGGATCTCTCTCAGGTACCATGTTTTTCCTGGTGACTTCCAACCCAGGTGAAGCCTCTGTCCCTCCCCAAATCGCGACAAAAACTGGGGCCTGCACATCATCAGGGTGGTTCTCCATGTGCAGAGACTTAGTCTGAAACAGAAAGGCTAAAGCCCAGCTATTTTCATTTGGAGCAGGACAGGGACTTGCCCTGAGGTGCCTCAGACCTGGCTCCACTCCTCAGCATCAGCACTCGCTCAACTCCAGCAATCTGTGCTGCCACAACCTCTGGGCAAGTTGCAAAACTACCTTCTCTCTTTCCTGGCCACACTTAATCCCTGCCCAATCTCCCCACATTCCTCCTGCTCCTCCTCTCCTCTCCGCCTTCCAGGCCAAGGCTTAAGCCTGCCAGATGCAAACACTTCTGGAATCCTTTCCCCAGAAAGCTGCACTCAATTGGCCAGTGTCTGCAGAATCCTTGGCAAAGAGGCTGCTGGCGTCAGGATGAAAGGGCAGGCTCAGAAAGGAAAGAGACCCTTTCCCATGACAGCCCTCATTAGCACACAGGATGTGCGGCTTTCCTAGGAAGCCAGGCGGGCGCTCCAGCAGCTGTTCTCCCAGCCACAGGGCTCTCCTCACCCTGTCTCCTTGTCACACCTGCTCACTGGGCTCGCAAGCAGGAAGAGGCCTACGTCACACTCCGGGGAAAGCCCAGCCAGAATTGCAAAAACACCCCCTCGCCTCGCAGCCCCAGGAAAGGCAAAGGGAGTCAGATCTGTCCTGGACCAGCGGCTGCGGGGAAGGGACTCAGTCTTCCCGCGTGTCCTCCCTCGGCGACCCCACCTCTGCTACCCGCAGGCTCCCACCTGCCGATGCCCTAGAGCCGGTCCCTGGGAAGGGTGGTCGTGGTGGCCTCAGGGGCAGCCTGGAACTCAGGGAGAGACAGTAAAGCAGCTCCCCGAGAATCCGGCATCCTTGGAAATCCCGCATCCCTGGGCAGGCGCTGGAGCCGGCAGCGCCCCAGGACGGGTCCCCGCAGAATCCGCCGCCACTGCCGCCCCCGGGGGACAAAGGGAGCGGCCTGCGGGCGGGCAACCCCAGCCGGGCACTGCCCCTCGCGCCGCCCGCCCAGGCCTGTCCCTCCGGGCCAGGGCCGCGCCCGGAACCCCGCAACCCCAGCGCTCGCCTCCCCGGAGCACTCTGCCTGTGCCAGCGGCAAGCGGCCAGCGCCGCGGTGTCCCTCTGCCCGGGCCGTGGGGAGGGGAGGATGGGACGACAGGTGGTGGCCGAGGCTCCGCCGAGCCGGGGCAGCCCCAGATGCCCACGGAGGGGCCTGGGCCACGCGCACTGAGCAGGCGCGCGGGCAGCTCACCCGTGTCCTGGCGGAACTGGTTCATGGAGTGCAGGTCGATGATGTAGGGCGCCAGCCTGCTGTCCACCTGGCCCAGCACCACGCTGCCCCCGGCGCGTGGCCCGGCGCGCACCACCGCCTCGATATGGTGGCTCACAGCCGGGCTGTAGGGGCGCCAGCGGCCGTGCTCGTTCAGCCATTCCCAGACCACCACGGCGGAGGCCAGGAGCATGGCGAGGCGAGCCGGCCCGCGCCCGCCCGGCTCAGCGCCGGCCCATGGGCGCTCCGCCCCACACCCGCGGGCTTGGTTCGGCTCGGCTCGAATGGCTCAGCTCAGCTCGGCTCGGCTCGGTTCCACTCGGCTCGGCTCGGCTCAGCTCGGCTCGGCTCGGCTCGGCTCGGGTGGCTCGGCTCGGCCGCCGCCTCCTGCACTGCCCCGGCTTTCACCCGCGGGCGCGTGGCTTGGCACCTCCGCGGCGGGGCGCCTGGGCCACGCTGTACCCGCGCCAGGGACCCTGGGTTCCGGACGGCGGCGAGCGCCGCGCCATGCCTCGGCCGGGCCTCTGCTTAGCAGCTTGGACCCCGGAGCGGAACCGCCTCGTGCTGCTTTATGTCTTGCTACCGCGGCGGGGGGAGGGTCCGCGGCGCCCCGGCTTGAGCACACGCATACCCAGCCCCGCGCCGCCTGGGCCATTACCTCACCCGTGGCGCAGCCCCCGATGTCCATCAAAGCACGCGAGCCACGCCCACCACGCCCCCTGCTGCCGGCGACCTGGAGTAGCCGCGGGGCCGCGCACTTGTCAGCGCCCGGCTCAGGCCTAGGTTGCTGCGCCCCGCCCAAAGGAATGCAGCAGTTTGGTCAGGGATGTGTATGGCAAGTGGTGGTTTTTCTGTCCCATTTTGACAAACTGGAATATCAGAGATTATTCTGCGACGTGTCTATTACCACTATACAAACACCAGCAGGACTTGTTATTTTGATCCTCAATTAAGGGAGTTAATAAGTTAAGGAAAATAACTTCAAATTGGTGTGTCCCGCCAGACAGGAGATGAAAGCCAACGGTAAGCGTGGATCTTGTCTGGGAACATAAACTTCATTCCGTTGAAGCTGCCGCCATCTGGAAATACTGAATTCCTTCCCTAAAGACCCAAGGCAGGATGTAGGTTAAAAAAAAAATTTACCTAGTAGGGAGTGAAACTCCTTGTTAATAATTATTTTCATAATATCACATAATCTTTTGTATGGTTCGAGGATGCTATAGAGAGAAAAAGACAAATGTGAATCAGAAAGAAATGAACTCGTATTTATCATATGGTATCCAGGTGCTCTCGGCTATTTTAATAAATTGTCCAATTTACAGTTCGTGATGACCCACTTGGAAATAATAATTTATAATTACATATCAATCATAATTACATTTTTATATACTATTCTTAGGTCTTCCAAGACAGTTTTAATTTCCAGTAATTGCACATAACACCTCAAAATCTGTAACATTCCATTTTATATTCAAACTGTCTCTCCCTTTATCTTTCTCTCTTTTCCTTCTTTTTGAGACAGGGTCTTGCTATGCAGTTCAGGCTGGCCTTAAAGTCCCTTGTAGCCCAGGCTAGTCTCAAACTTGCAAAGGTCCTCCTGCCTCAGCCTTTCCCATTACCTCAATGATACTTCATGGTGGATTTTCATAGCCACCCCCACTCCTTTCTCCTCACTATCATCCTGCTGATACAGTCTCTGTATCTCAGTGTGTTCCATAAACGAAATCACTTTTAATCTTTCAGGACTGGGCTTTTCTGTTGAACATGATGCTATGAAGCTTCCTTCAATGTTGTGCGGGTCAGGTCCAAAATTGCGAATTCAACGCCTTAGTCTTGGGCTTTCCAGTCTCCAGAACTCTGAGCAGGAAAACATCTGCTGTTCTGAGTAACCCAGTCAGTCTAAAGAGCTTCATTTTGTGATAGTGCCAGAAAAAAATCTACAATTAGATCCAGGTTGGTTTGCTGTTGTCACTGATCTTTTGGAATCTTCTGCACGAAACATAGACAATCATGTTAGCAGCAAAGAAAGACAGTATTATTTCCTCTTTCCTGATTAACGAGTCTTACTGTTTTTTATTTTTATTGCTTTTTTTCACGAGCTAGTATTTTAGTGTGATGGTCAACAGGAGTGGTAAGAATCCTCTCTTAGCAGGAATGCAACCAGTTTACCACTAAGCGTCATATTCACTGTACTGTTTTTTAATGAATGTTCTTTATCAGTGCAGATATTTGCCTTCTATTCCCAGCTTCCTGAGAGATTTTATCAACAGATGTTAAATTTTCGTCAAATACTTCTTTCTGTAGCCACTGATGTGACCCAGCAATTTTTCTTCACTAGCTTGTTGATACAACAAATGACAGTAATAGATTCATTGAGTTCATTTTGCACATCTGAAATCATCCCCACCCTTTCATTGACTTCATCTGTAACCATTCATTACACAAACCACAGCTATAAATAGAAGGATTTTCTAAGTTCTATGAGTGTTTTTGCAAATTATCAGGCTGGAGTAGCCAGTCATAGGGCCACCCAGCTAACCTCCAGAAGGGCTGCCCTCGTTGGCATCTTTATATGCGAGAAATGTCTTCCTTGAAGAATAGGGCTGTGTACCACCCCTCATGCTGAGTCCTGCTTGGATTCCTGGGGAGAACCCAGAAGAGGAGGAAGAGTGGGACAGTGTCCGCGGCAGCAGCTGGCTTGGGGTATGCATCTGTTTCTTAACTCTCTCCATCTGTGATTGCTTCCCTCTTCTTTTAGTGTTTATCCTGCTGTTGACTCCTCCACTGGGAGGCCCAAGTCTTCATCCCTGGAGGGTCTGAGACCCCTGAAACCCTGTTATGCTTTCCTCAGACTAGCATGGATGCAATCATTAGTTTGCAATTGAAGTGAAGCAAGGGAACTGCAAGAAGGTCCCAGGGGACCTCCAGATGGCAAGTACACCCTCCCTCCCCCCCCCACGTGTCCTGCCTCCTGCTGAGCTGGAGTGACTGCCCAAGTCTAGCCAGAAACTCCTCCTCTTGCCTGCAGGCCCTGGATGCAAAGTCCTGGAAGTGACTGGCAGAAAAGCAGCTTGGGGTTCAGTGGACTCCTCCTCTGTCCCGTGGCAGAAGTGTCCCCCACAAGGAATCCAGGCTTCTCGCCCTGCATAGCCCTGCACTGGGAACTGGGAAGAAGGTGGAAGGCGCAGGTGCCCTGCGGTGTTGGGGTTGTGGGGATTAACGTGGTCAGAAATGTGGCCCCGCTCCAGGGGCTCTAGTCAAGATCCTGAGATTTGGGTCCCCTCCTGGAGGCTCTGGAAGGAAGCATGTTTCCTGCATTTCCAGCAGCAACAGTGCCTCCCTCTGTACACTGCCCAGAGTCGCATCGCTCTTGGGCTCCCACCCGACATTTCTCACTTTAAGGATTGTCATGACTCTGATACCCACACAGATATTCAAGACAACCGCACTGACTCAGAGGTAGCCAACAAGCCACATTGATTCCATCTGTAGCCTTTGTCCCTCAGTCCTCTGTAACCCAACTCACTCACAGGTTACAGATTCAGGTGCAGATGTCAGATTCAGGGGCAGATGTCATAGGGTCGCCCCGCCATGCTCCTCACACATCTCACTTAGGAGCTCTTGTTCTGCTCCACAATAGGGCTGAGTGTCTGGCTTCTCCCCTGAGAGACTGTGCTTAGGCCAGAACTGATGCTATGATGGGATGAGTATGATAGAACTTGCTCTAAATGTGTGGATCTGCACAACATCTCTGTGCACACATCTCTCTGTACGCATAAGGAGCTGCTATGTAAAAGACATTGATCCTCCACTACTTTGGAGAGCCTATTGAGAATGCCACATGGTTGATAGGTTGGTTGGTTTCTTTCTTTCTTTCATTTTTGTACTGAAAATTGAACCCAGAACCTTTGCACTGAGCTGCATCCCTGGTCCCTTTTTAATTTTATTCCTTTAATTTTAAAATGGGGTCCAGTCTGGGCTTGAGTTTGCAATCCTCCTACTGAGCCTCTAAAGGTGCTGGAATCACATCCATGTGGCATCACCCATGTGGCTTCTTCAGGTGGTCCGCCTACCCCACCATCTAATACTTCTAACACCTAGGAGTAGCTGAATTTCATGGCCCTGGCAGCAGCACTGTTTTTATCATAGCTTAGGTCACTTGCAAAAGCTTCATTATTTGTGCCTCATTCAAAGCTACTGGCCTTTTGTGTTCACCATGCACAGGTCAGGCAGGATGCTTCGGTGAGGATACTTGATCTTCAGAGCCCCTAGAGCTCCTCTCTGCATGTGCTTCCTTCTTCCTGGCAGGATACGCAAGAAGCGATGATTACCATATCTCTGGCCGGGATGCCCCAGCGTGGCCTGCCTCAGAGCCCTGACCCTGCACAGGCCCTACCTCTCTCCACCTGCAATGCATGCGACTCGGCCTCCAAGGGGTTTCTTTAGTGGCATTCAAATCATCATGAAACAAACTCCTCCAAAAAGCCAGCTGGCATTTTTTCTTGTAGTCAAGGATGCCAAGACCGCAGTGGCTGAGGCCTGAATATTCGGTGTGCAGTGAGTGAGCTACGCAGGCCTTTTGGACACTTCCTTTGTTACAAGTATCCATTAAGCCATTCCCAAAAAGGATGCCAGGTGGAAGAGACTTCCGGCATCCACAGCTTACTGGCCGCCTTTTTGGGAGTGTTGTACTTAGAGGCTGCTTTCGTCAGGTGGCAATGTTGGGCCAGGAAGTGGTGTGTGTGCTCTGGTGGCTTTCAGTGTGGATCCACAGCGGAGCTTTTCCATGCTCCTCAGATCCTCTTAGTCTGCCCAGAGCGGCCAGGGAAATGAGTTTGGGGGATCATCTGCATGTCCTGCATGAAGCATATGCTAAGCAGAAGGAGGCTTTGGAGATGGGAATGTCCAGGCATGCGGGCATCACCTCACAAGGAGTCCACTCCAAGGACCCCACCAAGGAGCTGCCTTTGCTTCTCTTCTGGGCAACAAATTTCACCTAAACCCCATCCATTGAATTCTGAATTGAGGGACACCGGAGAAGATTGCTAGGGGGTGAGGACAGCAGAGACATGAACCCTGGTTGTCACCCACCCTCAGCTCTGTGCCCTAGAGCTGTTGGAAGAGACCCCTTTCTGACCCCGAGCACCCCTCTCTCCAGGTCCACCCTTCCTTCTCCAGTGACTTTGGAATGTGTTCTCTGGAATGGGACCATCCCTTCCCTATCCTGCCCAGAGGAGGGAGAGTAACATGAATAAAATTCAAATAACCATTGGGTGGCTTATTTCTACCTTACCTCTGCACAAGCAGATTGATTAACAGGTAGGTGACTTTCCTACTCCTCCA